AAGAGATCTGGGTTAGGATATTTGTTCTGTGTCTGAGCCCCAAATGTAATCATCTTCACTGATGCCTTGGGTCTGAGTTTTTCGGAAGGTTTACTAAATTTCTGTTTCTTATTTTGGGTCTTCTGCAAATATTCTCGAGTTGTTTGCATATTTGGTTCGATATTTGACATGACACACCCTATATCATCAGAATCCACTCCAATCCCTGTCTGTTGGGCCACCCTATTTTAAGCATGTTCCTGGATAAGAAAACATTTTAAACAACATAGTTAAAGAGTGGAAGCTTACCATCACTGTCGATGATTCCGTCGTCAATCAGCTTTGGACAGTTAGCAAGTAAGTTCAACATAGCAGCTGCGGCCGAGCAGAAGGCTACTGTCTTGATTCCCAACTTCTTGGCTAGCTCCAGCGCCCATCCCATGCCATAATCTGCTATAACACACATAATTCTATCTCTATCTGTTTCGTTTATCTTTTGGATTAAGTCCTCCAACTTCCCAGGCATGAAATTCAAAATTGCTTCGGATAATTTTCCCAGTTCATTTCTGTCCTCCCATGGTTCAATTCCATCTGGGATTGCTACCAAATTTACACTTTCTTTTTCTTGTGTGTTTTCTGTCTCTGATAATGCTTCGACAACTCTCTTGTGATTGAATTCCGTATTCACAAATGTGACTTTGATGCCATGTTTTACTAGCCGTAGTGAAACTTCCATTAAGGGGATAACATGGCCTTGTGCTGGATAAGGAATGGCTAGAACATGTGGGGTGGCCATTGTATTTTTCTTCATCCAATGAAGTTGTATTTGTATCATAAACTTCATGCTTATCCTTATACAGGTGTCAATGAAGAAAGGGGGCTTATTTATGCCAATTTTATAAGAGATCTAATTTTTCCTAACTTGGTCCTGGGGTGGAATGGGCTCGGCTGGCTCTTACACGCCCAAGCTTGGCTTCCATTTTTTTTTTTAAATAATAATAAAATAAGGAAAAAACAATTAAAAAAATGAGAAGGTCCAAGAGTTCAAGACAAGCTGGCTCAGCTCGTAAAAAAATCAAGCTCAAGTTAACCCATGACTCGTCTTAATGGGGGCGTGAATAATCAATTGTCCAAATTGGGACGAGCCGAAACAACAAACGGCTCTGCCCATTTGCCACCGATAACTTGGCCCTTGCGACCAATTTCCTTCCAATGTTCTGTAATTTGGACACTGTCATAAGTTGTTTTCATTGGTGTTCTTGCTCTTATATAAATATTAGTCGTTTGCCCGTGTGATACACAAGCTATGTTATTTTTAAAGCAATGTTAGTGTGTCAAAATATTGCATTATGGATGACAAATCTACACAACTAAATACCAATAACATATAACAAGTAATTGATAAAGCAACCTATGCTACACATCTATTAGAAAACAACAGACAGAGCTCCAACTTACGCCCCACGCGGTCACGTTCGATCCATCCCGATAGCGGCCGCAAAACAGCGTGGACAGCACGCTGCAGCAGGATGGAATAGGCAGAATGCAGGCTGCCTAAAATTGTGCAGTTTTCCAGGACATCAATGAGGTTTCTCTAAATCCCGACCCAGCCATTTTGGAGGAAAAATACATGAACCTGCAGCGGGATATTTTGGGGTGCAAGTAGGCAACTTGCACAACTTGTCCACTTGTGCCACTTGCAAGATATTATCAAAGATACAAGCTAAGCGCGAGTTGGCGAAGATATTATCAAAGGTGCAAGCTAAGTACGAGTTGGCAAGAATAATATCTTCTATGCAAGCTAAGATAGAGTTGGCGACAACTTGCAAGGAAAGTTATAACCTTATCCACTTGACAACAACTAAGCATGAGTTGTAAACAACTAGCACGAGTTGTGAACAACTAAGCGTAGGTTGTAAAGTAAGGCCACTTGATCTTAAGGAGGTTTAAGTTTTGCCTATAAATAGAGATGGAAGTCTCATTTGTAAATCATGTAGAGTTGAGTGACTTTATTCCTTAGAGAGATTGTAAAGTTTTCCTTTTCATTTATACAAAGAAAGTTTCCCGACCTACTTGTTTTTCATATATCCTTTACTTCTAAATTCTCCTCTCAACGTGGGTATAATTTAGCCTCCTTGGTTAAATTATTTGTGAGCGTGGAAAGACTGACTTAACGTTTTCTCGTGGGGTGTGGGAATTGTCAAGCGTTAAGGCCGCACGGTTCTAGTTGTTTAACGAAACTAGGTTCGTGACAAGTGGTATCAGAGCCTCGTTTGTAGGTGGTTATAATGGCGGAATCTCAAGAAACTGTTGATATTGAGATTGAGGAGAGGGGTCGAGGTGCTGCCCAAACTGAAGTAAGGAAAACTCGAGGTAAAAGTAAGGTGAGGGAGGCCACCAACATGGAGGGTAAACTTGACCAAATCATCTCAAATATGGGTGATCGGGTCGAATCTCTTGAAAGCTCTTTCGAGGCGTTGGAGGGACACGCCCTTGGAAAGCTAGAAACTCTACAAATCAATGTCCAAGAGGTGATGGACACACAAGCATTGTTGGAAAATGATGTCCAAACGATGAAAGATGATGTTCGAGCTGTGGTAGCCGGACAAACAGCGGTAATGGATGATTTTGGTCGTCTCCAAACCAAATTCATGGATGCCGTTTCCGCCATGCAAGGCCAAGTTAACCAATTGACCGTGATGATGGAGAGAATGAGCAAAGAGCTTGAACAATACAAGCACTCCACTGCCGGTACAAGCAGAGGTGCCGCTTCAACTATTGTTGCCCCAAGGATTGAATACCCGAAGCCTAAACATTATGATGGGCGACGGGATGCCAAAGATGTGGAAAACTTCCTATGGCAAATGGAAGTTTATTTTGAAGGCGTAAATCTTGTTGATGAAACTACGAAAGTCCGGACCGCTTCTATGTATCTTACCGACACCGCATCTCTTTGGTGGCATCGTAAGCATGCCGATGTTGAACATGGAGCTAGTAGAATTGATACTTGGGAAGAGTTCAAAAGGGAGCTAAAAAGGCAATTCTACCCTGAGAACGTTGTATATGAAGCCCGCAAGAAACTAAGGGAATTGAAACAAAAAGGGACCATTCGTGACTATGTCAAAGAGTTCACGACCCTTATGCTTCAAATCCCTAGCATGCCGGAGGATGTCTTGCTATTCTATTTCATGGATGGATGTACAACCTGGGTGCGGCAAGAATTACAACGTCGCGAAGTCAAAAATGTAGATGGGGCAATTGCGGTTGCCGAATCTTTAACGGAGTTCCAAAGGAGTACGGAGTCGTAAGCAAGGACTTTCAAACCAACAAGAGGGAATTTTGGCAGAGGCGGAGGTGATATGCGAAAAGATAAGCAACCGAGTAAGCCGAATTGGAGGCCAAATCCCAAAGTTGATTACAAACCCAGTGGTAACAAGCCAACTACTTGGAGGAAGGAGTATGATGATAAAAAGAGGGGTAATTTTGCTCCTCGTAGCTGCTTCATTTGCAAAGGGCCACATCTCATGTGGGATTGCCCTAAACTTGGATCCTTGGCCTCTATTACGGAGACTCAACAGGAGGCTTCCCATGGCATTGAGGAGGGTGCAAGTCACATGGGTTCATTGCAAATTTTCAATGCTTTGAATGCCAAAACCGTTCCGGGGGTGAACGGAGAAAAAGGATTGATGTTCGTACTTGCTGAAATCAATGGACGACAAACACGGGCATTAGTTGATACCAGAGCTACACACAATTTCATCACGGAGGATGAAGCCCGGAGGCTTGGATTGAACATTCACCATGGAGGTGGATTGATGAAGACAGTGAATGCAATCGCAGAGCCATTAGCGGGCGTAGTTCGAGGAGTGAGACTACGGTTGGGTTCGTGGCATGGACCCGTTGATATATCTGTAGCCCCGATGGATGATTTCAAGCTAGTATTGGGCTTGGATTTCTTAAGGAAGGTTAATGCTATTCTTATGCCTTCCTTTGGTTCGATGTGCATCTTGGAGAAGGGATCTTCATGCATGGTTCCTACCGTTTCCATGGGGATGGAAACAC